GTCTCTAATCTGTTCCACTGGTCTGTGGCTCTGTTCTTGTGCCAGTACCAAATTGTCTTGATTACTATGGCTTTGTAGTAGAGCTTGAAGTTGGGGAGTGAGATCCCCCCTACTTTATTCTTCTTTTTCAGGATTGCTTTGGCTATTCGGGGTCTTTGGTGTTTCCATATGAATTTTTGAATTATTTGTTCCAGTTCATTGAAGAATGTTGTTGGTAATTTGAGAGGGATTGCATCAAATCTGTATATTGCTTTGGGCAGGATGGCCATTTTGACGATATTAATTCATCCTAGCCAGGAGCATGGGATGAGTTTCCATTTGTTAGTGTCCTCTTTAATTTCTCTTAAGAGTGCCTTATAGTTTTCAGTGTATAGGTCTTTCACTTCCTTGATAAGGTTTATTCCTAATTATTTTATTCTTTTTGATGCAATTGTGAATGGAATTGTTTTTCTGATTTCTCTTTCTATTAGTTCATTGTTGGTGTATAGGAAAGCCATAGATTTCTGTGTGTTAATTTTGTATCCTGCAACTTTGCTGTATTCTGATACCAGGTCTAGTAGTTTTGGAATGGAGTCTTTAGGGTTTTTTATGTGCAATATCATGTCATCTGCAAATAGTGACAGTTTAACTTCTTCTTTGCCAATTTGGATTCCTTGTATTTCTTTGTTTTGTCTAATTGCCATGGCTAGGACCTCCAGTACTATGTTGAATAACAGTGGGGAGAGTGGGCATCCCTGTCTTATTCCGGATCTCAGAGGAAACGCTTTCAGCTTTTCACTGTTCAGTATGATGTTGGCTGTGGGTTTATCATATATGGCCTTTATTATGTTGAGGTACCTGCCCTCTGTACCCATTTTGTTGAGAGTTTTTATCATGAATGGATGTTGAATTTTGTTGTATGCTTTTTCAGCATCTATGGAGATGATCATGTGATTTTTGTCTTTCTTTTTGTTGATGTGGTGGATGATGTTGATGGATTTTCGAATGCTGTACCATCCTTGCATCCCTGGGATGAATCCCACTTGGTCGTGGTGTATCATCCTTTTGATGTATTTTTGAATTCTGTTTGCTAATATTTTATTGAGTGTTTTTGCATCTACGTTCATCAGGGATATTGGTCTGTAATTTTCTTTTTTTGGTGGGGTCTTTGCCTGGTTTTGGTGTTAGGGTGATGTTGGCTTCATAGAATGAGTTTGGGAGTATTCCCTCCTCTTCTATTTTTGAAAAACTTTAAGGAGAATGGGTGTTATATCTTCTCTGTATGTCTGATAAAATCCTGAGGTAAATCTGTCTGGCCCCGGGGTTTTTTTTCTTGGGAAGTTTTTTGATTACTGCTTCAATTTCTTTGCTGTTAATTGGTTTATTTAGATTTTGTGTTTCTTCCTTGGTCAGTCTTGGGAGGTTGTATTTTTCTAGAAAGTTGTCCATTTCTTCTAGGTTTTCCTGCTTGTTACTATATAGGTTTTCATAGTAGTCTCTAATAATTCTTCTTATATCTGTTGGGTCTGTTGTGATGTTCCTTTCTTGTTTCTGATTCTGTTGATGTGTGTTGATTCTCTTTTTCTCTTAGTAAGTCGGGCTAGAGGCTTATCTATTTTGTTTATTTTCTCAAATAACCAGCTCTTGGTTTCATTGATTTTTTTCTATTGTTTTATTCTTCTCAATTTTGTTTATTTCTTCTCTGATCTTTATTACATCCCTCCTTCTGCTGACTTGAGGTCTCATTTGTTCTTCTTTTTCCAGTTTAGATAATTGTGATGTTAGACTATTCATTTGGGATTGTTCTTCCTTCTTTAAATATGCCTGGATTGCTATATACTTTCCTGATAAGACTCCTTTCTCTGCGTCCCTCGGAAGTCGGGGCTTTGTGTTGTTGTTGTCCTTTGTTTCCATATATTGCTGGATCTCCATTTTAATTTGGTCATTGATCCATTGACTATTTAGGAGCATGTTGTTAAGCCTCTATGTGTTTGTGAGCCTTTTTGCTTTCTTTGTAGAATTTATTTCTAGTTTTATACCTTTGTGGTCTGAAAAGTTGGTTGGTAGAATTTCAATCTTTTTTAATTTACTGAGGCTCTTTTTGTGGCCTAGTATGTGGTCTATTCTGGAGAATGTTCCATGTGCACTTGAGAAGAATGTGTATCCTGTTGCTTTTGGGTGTAGAGTTCTGTAGATGTCTACTAGGTCCATCTGTTCTAGAGTGTTATTCAGTGCCTCTGTGTCCTTACTTATTTTCTGTCTGGTGGATCTGTCCTTTGGAGTGAGTGGTGTGTTGAAGTCTCCTAAGATGAATGCATTGCATTGTATTTCCTCCTTTAGTTCTGTTAGTATTTGTTTCACATATGCTGGTGCTCCTGTGTTGGGTGCATATATATTTATAATGGTTATATCCTCTTGTTAGACTGAGCCCTTTATCATTATGTAATGTCCTTCTTTGTCTCTTGTTACTTTCTTTGTTTTGAAGTCTATTTTGTCTGATACTAGTACTGCAACACCTGCTTTTTCTCCCTATTGTTTGCATGTAATATCTTTTTCCATCCCTTGTCTTTTAGTCTGTGCATGTCTTTGGGTTTGAGGTAAGTCTCTTGTAAGCAGCATATAGATGGGTCTTGTTTTTTTATCCATTCAGTGACTCTGTGTCTTTTGATTGGTGCATTCAGTCCATTTACATTTAGGGTGATTATCGATAGGTATGTACTTATTGCCATTTCAGGCATTAGATTCATGGTTACCATAGGTTCCAGGTTACTTTCTTTACTATCCAAGAGTCTAACTTAACTCACTTAGTATGCTGTTACAAACACAATCTAAAGGTTCTTTTCTACTTCTTCTCCTTTTTCTTCCTCCTTCATTCTTTATATATTAGGTATCAAATTCTGTACTTTATGTATCCCTTGATTGACTTTGTGGATAGTTAATTTAATTTTGCATTTGCTTTGTAATTAGCTGTTTTACTTTCTTTACTGTGGTTTTATTACCTCTGGTGACAGCTATTCAACCTTAGGAACACTTCCATCTAAAGTAGTCTCTCCAAAATAGACTGTAGAGATGGTTTGTGGGAGGTAAATTCTCTCAGCTTTTGCCTATCTGGACATTGTTTAATCCCTCCTTCAAATTTAAATGATAATCTTGCTGGATAAAGTAGTCTTGGTTCCAGGCCCTTCTGCTTCATGGCATTAAATACATCATGCCACTCCCTTCTGGCCTGTAAGGTTTCTGCTGAGAAGTCTGATGTTAGCCTGATGGGCTTTCCTTTGTATGTGATCTTATTTCTGTTTCTGGCTGCTTTTTACAGTCTGTCCTTATCCTTGATCTTTCCCATTTTAATTACTATATGTCTTGGTGTTGTCTTCCTTGGGTCCCTTGTGTTGGAAGATCTGTGGATTTCCATGGCCTGAGAGAATATCTCCTTCCCCTGATTGGGGAAATTTTCAGCAACTATCTCCTCAAAGACACTTTCTCTCCCTTTCTCTCTTCTTCTCTGGTAGCCCTGTAGTGCGAATATTGTTCCGCTTCGATTCATCACACAGTTCTCTCAATATTCTTTCATTCTTAGAGATCCTTTTTTCTCTCAGCTTCTTTGTGTTCCTCTTCTGTAGTTTCTGTTTCATTTATTGTCTCCTCCACCATATCCAACCTGCTTTTAATACCCTCCATCATGCTCTTCAATGATTGGATCTCCGACCTGAATTCATTCCTGAGTTCTTGGATGTCTTTCCTTACCTCCATTAGAATGTTGATGATTTTTATTTTGAACTCCCTTTCATGAAGAGTCACGAGGTCTATATCATTTAAATCTCTCTTGGGAGCTGTATTAATAATTTTACTCTGGACAAGGTTCCTTTGGCATTTCATGTTTGTATATGGTACCCTCTAGTGTCCAGAAGCTCTATTCTGGAGCTGCTCAGTCCCTGAAGCAATGTCGGGTGTCGCAGTGGAGCGGTACTGGTGCCTGGTGGGAGGAAAGAGCTGTTCCCCACCTCTTGGCTGCCGTGCCTGTCTCCACTGCCTGAGCCAGTGGGCCAGTCACACAGGTATAAGTTTTTGTTCCAGAGCAGCCAGATATGGATCCCTGCTTTCCACAAGCGGCTGGAATCCCAGTCTCCCCAGGAACTCTGCCTGTATTAACTTTCCAACCTGGTAGTCATGTGAGTCTCATGAAAGCACCATGAAATGTAGGTTTCTGCTCCCAGAGCAGATCTCCAGAGCTAGGTATTCAGCAGTCCCAAGCCTTCCACTCCCTCCCTGCTCCATTTCTCTTCCTCCTGCCAGTGACCTAGGGTGGCAGAAGGGCTTGGGTCCCGTGGAGCCACGGCTCTGGTACATTCCCCCGTTCAGTGAGGTCTGCTCTTTTCTCCAGGTGTATGCAGTCTGACACCGTCCTCTTTCCTGTTGCTCTCTCAGGATTAGTTGCGCCAACTAAATTTTCTTATTGCATCCAATTTTAGGAGGAAGCCTCTGTGTCTCCTCTCATGCTGCCATCTTTAATCCCTATTTACTTTTGTACATGAAATCAGTTTTCCCTTTTGAAGGAAATATCCTCTTGATATTTCTCTCAATTATTTTCTATCACAGGATGTTTGGATCTGGCAGAGAACATAACTTTACACGTCCCAATGAGAAGGGAGAGTATGAGGTGGCAGAGGGAATTGGATCCACTGTGTTTCGAGCTATTCTAGTGAGTACTTGTTTTATATGTGTATTGACTTAATCATATGACCCCTTCATGGTAGGTACTTGAATTGGAAGCAGAATTCTGTTTGAATATTTTTATGGAGGTATGAAGGATATTGTTTTTTTAAAAATGGCATTTAATTCATCTTTATTTTTAGTACATGAAGGTAACATGACACAAATAAATGAATTTTATGACCTTTGCAAAGATAAGGTAGGGGAAGATTAATTTTTTAGGTCTCCATAGGCAGTTCTTTTAAGAGTTTAGTCGTAACATTTCTGGGGCCATATCACTTCTCCTTAATTCTCTGAAATACAATAAGTTGATCATTTTTCATAGCCAAGAATGAACATGAATACTTGAGCTCTAGTATTTTATTGCACATAACCAGCAGTATAGACACTTACAAAGATTAAAAAGTCATCTCTAAAATGTACTTATTAGCATCTTTGTTTTAAACCTTTTTTTTTTGTTGCTTTTAACTTCATTTTGAGGAATATTTGAATTAGTATAATAGAGATCCTACTTGTAATTTCAAATCAGTGATAAAGATTTGATTTATAGTGTGTGATGGTTTGTGTCACAGTCTGAAGATATAGTTTCCTCAAATAGTTTTAAGAAAAGAAAGGAGGCAGGATCCTGAGGTATAAGACAGGAAATGTTATTGATCTTGATCAGGTTGTTAGTACTTGGATAAGTACCACAAGAAGTCTTGCTTCCATTGGTGCAGCAGCTTTAGGAATTGTGTTACTGTGGCTCTGAATCTCAAAAAGCTTGATGTAAATCTGAGTTTTTTGGTAAGTGCTTTTCTAGCTGCCCATACTTCCATTTCACCCCTAGTGGAGTTAACAAATAAAAAATTTTCTGACTCAGCTATGGAATAATGTATTTTTACTTCTGGGGCCAGCCCCTAATAACTTTGAAGTAGATTTTGGAAATAATTACTATTGTTTGTAATAATATGAGAAACACCAAAGAGTAGTATTAGGAAGAAGAATATCTAGTTGTACATTCTGTTTATATATTTTAATACTTGGGTATGATTTTGAAGTTCTTTATTAGTAAAAACCTTACATTTTGCTTAATGCTCTAGATAGTACTTAAGATATTATTTAACTTTCTTGCTTTAAAATTTTTTTTTAAATTTATGGTAATTATATAGAAAAACAACTTGTAGGGGGAAAATATCTATGAATCAGCATGATACAGTAGGTAGGAGAGATAGATACATAAATAATGGGGAGACCCCGGTTCCCGTCTTTCCTTGTTACATAGTTGTATGACTGGATGAGTCAGTGAACCCACTTGGATCTAAATTTTTCTTACTGGTAAAATGAAAAAGTGATAAGGTGAAGCTCCACCCAACTTTAAAATTCACAATTCATAAATCACAGAGTTCCATTGTTTTTGAAAATGCTTTCAGCTTAACCTTAGTAATAAGTTTTGGCCACTATATGCTCCAAATGTTTTATGCGTCCTTTACTTTTTTTTTTCAGGATTACTATAAAACAGGAGTAATCCGTTGTCCTGATGGCATTTCTATTCCTGAACTGAGAGAAGCATGTGACTATCTTTGTATCTCTTTTGAATATAGTACTATTAAATGTAGAGATCTCAGTAAGTATGATGTTTTGTGTGTGACTGGTTTGTAGAGTTAAAACATATTAGAATGAAAAGTCTGAAATAATGCTATTTACCTAGACTTCAAATATTTGTTTATATTGAATTGTAAAGCATTCTAGTATCATGAAGATTATTTATGCATACCTACAGAGGTCTTTATAAGCTTCTTGTGCAATTTTCCAAAACTTTTTTCAACTTTAATAATTTATTTATTTTTGATAAGAGTCTCCCAGATTTCCTTCTTGACTGTTTCCTGTATTATTTGTTGCCAGTCTTTAATCTCTAGGTTTGGGAGCCCTGTCTTTGGTCAAGTGTGGTGTTTGGCGTCACTCCTTAGATCGTATCAACCAAAAATTTATAATTTTTTTTTACTTGGGAGGTAATATCCTAAGTCACTATGGAAAATACACATAATTCTCAAAAACAGTATTTGTTGTGAAAGATCTTAGACTAAAATACCTAGCCCTCATTTAACAAAGGGTTAAATGATTTCATCCCAGAATTTGAAACAGTCTCAGAGCAGGGTCTAAAACTTTGGAAATGCTAACTCTTTGATTGATAGTTTTCTCTCACCACCTCCCACCTCCCCAGCACCTCTCCTTTTCACTCTTATGGCATGCCTAAGAAAAAAAGGTGATTATACACAGAGAAGTCAAAATAGTCTATGAGACTTTTGATATTGACTTGGATATTAAGTGATTGGAGAAGTTCAGAAGAAGGAGAGAGCATTGTGGGCTCGAGGGATTGGGAAAAAGTTCAGAGGAGGCAGGTAGCAAAGAAAGAATAATTTAGAAAGAATAGAGTAGGGAGGTCATTCTAAGAACTGATATTTTTGGAGTAAAGATGCAAAGGATATACTTTGGAAATAACCTAGTTGAAGCAGAGACTTTATACCAGGACCAGAGGGAGATGGGAATAAATAAATGGGCCAGATTATGGAAAGTATTTAATCCAAACTAATGTTCTTACATTATATCTTGCATACAGTGGGAAGCCATTTAAAAAGTTTCCTGTATATGGTTATAGCCTTATGTTAATCTCAGACATATGATTATCTTTACTTTATCACCTAAACACAACACTAGATTGACAGAGTAGTGTCATCCCTTCTTAAAGATTGGTGTGTTAGAAATTGTGAATGGGAAATTCTATTTAAATTTTTAAGGTGCCTACTATATACTTAAATTTAGCTATCATTCTTCATCTTAGTTATGATCTAATTCCTTCAAAATGAGTGGCCTTAAGTCTACTCCTAAGTACCACTGTATTTTTGCCATACATTCTTTAAAGTCTTCATAAAAATATCAGTAGGTGGGACAAAGAAGTAGACGGTCCACCTCTGAGTCCATTTCTTTATAAATGACATTTAAAAAGTTTATAGTCAAATAGTTGGACAGGTGGAGCATGTAACTGTAAACTTAAAGTTGTTATTTTTCCACATATAAAAAATGTTTTCCAGTCAAAACCATGAGCATTAATTAATCTAATTATGGAGCTTTGACTTCAAGTTTTGTGTTTGGACCATTTAATTTAAATTCATGTAATCATATACTGTATTTTAGTGAGTGTCAGATAAAAAAAAACTAGAATTTCTTACAGGTGACATAGATTTTTAGTTCTGTAATCCTTTGGAAATAGTTTACCTTGTTATCACTCGTAAGTATCATGTATTTGTTGTGGAATTGAAGGCAAGAATATCTATATAAAATGTCTAATACGCTTTTCCTAATCTTTTGGCCTTTCAGTAATACTTTTAATAACTATATGGATTAAATGTAATATATGTTACTAAAAATTTAGAGTCTCATAGATTTTATTAAAACTATGGGATAATTTGAAGAGCCAGAAATAGTCTTGTAAAAATTAAAAGGTGTAAACTTAAGTCTAAAAATGAATTTTTTTCCTGCAGATATGTGCCTTTCCTGAATATTGGAATAGCACTTTACACTAAAATGTTCAAATTGCTCTCTTAATTTAAAATTATACAAGTATTAAATGCTTATTGAATAGAGTCCTGTATTTCTTGAACAAGTTACTTAAAACCTTGTTTTTTAGTTCCCTCCTCCTAAAAATAGATACATTAGTATTTATCTCAAAGTGTTGTTATGAAGATTAAATGAATAGTGTTTGACACACAGTATTAAATAAGGGTGTGCTTTAAAAAAATGTGGCAAAATTAGGAAGGAGATAAAGGTAAATTAAAAGAAAAATATTTAAGGGATCATATTTGACATGCTGAATATTTCTACATGGTAGTATATTGTGAATAAGTGTATTAGTTAAATATCCTTCAATAACAACTTGTTTAATGGTTTACAAATAAATCAGTCATTATGTGCATCTTTACTGTACACTCCCTTTATACTAAATATTAGGCATATTAAGGCAGTGACAGAGGTCCCTTCTCTCATGGTGCTTGCAATATAGTGGGGTATTAAAGAAAGCATAGGGTGCTAAATGAGCACATAGGAGCTATAAGTAACTCAGGCCTGGGGACTTTAGGAAGTTTTTGGAGAAGAAAGAGAAAGTATGTCCTAGGCAGCAGAAATGGTATGTTCAAAACCAGGATTAGTTAAGGGAAGAACTGATTTCTCAACTTTCTGTCATAGAACTTACCATATAGTAAAGAAATTCTGTGGTAAGTAGTAGCTCCCCAATTATGCTACACATTTCTTCAGTGTCCACATTCTCTTCCCAGGCAAGCACTTGAATCCAGAAGAGGTTTTAAGAACCAGAGCTGAACTGAGGAATGTAGACCCAGGGCTAAAAGAAAATACAGTGATATAGTGTCCTTGGGTGAAAAGTGGTATGGAAAGTGAAATTATAAATTTGAATAAAGCACCAATTTAGAAGGCCCAGGAAGAAGGGCACCATCCATGTAGGAGAATATGGGACTTCAACTGAAGACCAAAAAACTGAAGTTATATCCAAGTCTATTGAGAAAGGGAGATCAGAGGCACAGCCTACCTATGTAGTCACTAAAGACATAGAGGCACTCAAACAACTGAAACACTCATGTGTTCTCTCTCAGCTCTATTTTTCAGTTTGTAGCATTAAACCAGTTTGAACTTGAGGACAGGGATGTTCCATGGTGCCTGGCACACAGTAAGAACTCAATAAATATTTGCTGAATGAATGAATGATTTTATCCCCTCAAAGATTTTTTAGGTCCTTATCCCACTTGTCTCTTTTAGTATCATTAGTCTTTCCTGCTTTATACAGAGTAATCCTCAGGCTCAAACATACTCAAATATGACTCATGTCTATTGTAGGCATTCAAAAAAGTTATTTTAAAAATTTTGAGCTTTTCATTGGAGTTCTTTGAAGTTAATATTTGAGAAGATTTAACATATTTACAGATTCCTGCTTCAACTGCTATGTCTCGTTATTTATTCAGTTTTTGTCTATTATTTCTGCTCTAGTCTCATTAATTCTTAGATATTTTGTGTTTTTGTTATTGTGGTGTGTAGAATGTGTGTTTAAATTTCCTAACTGCTAACATACAAGAAAATTACTGAATTTGTACATTTGCATTAGTCAAAGTGTTTATCTCAAAGTGTTGACATAACAGAACTATGTTTATTTCTAGTAGTTTTTCAGTTGGTTTTCATATATTCTTGGTAGATAATTGACACTGTTGCAAATAACACTTTTTATGTCTTGTTTGTTTAATTGAATTGGCTAGAATATTTTGAACAATGTTAAATTTAGTGATAATTCTGAGATGCTTGTCTTGGCGGCATTTCCTTTAGCTTTCACTGTTAACATCACCCATTTCTTCTGGATCCTCTCTTCCTTTGTCACTTTAACATCCTTCTTTTAGGTCTTCTGTGTATCGTTCTTCTCTCACTTGCTCCCTGATCATTCATCTCTAGATTGTGGTTGTTCCCAACTGTCTTGTCTTTAACTCCCTTCTCTTTCACAGAATCTGTACACTTATTCTGAGTGATGCCATTCATCACTGTGGCTTCATATATAATCTATACATTGCAGACTCTCAGCTCTTTATCTCTAATTCCTAAGTACCAGTTATTCATTACTAGTTTAATATTTAACTTACAATTTCCCCTTCTTAATCAGACTTTTCATAAGAGTTTCCTACATAGAGTACTTACACTGATGAATGAGACATACCTTGTTCCTGCCTTTGCAGGTTTACACTTTAGTAGGGAAGACATTCAGCACATAATGAAAAGCTGTGAAGAATGCAGTGAAGAAATGAGATGCTGTGAGAAATGTATAGTGAAGGGGTTGTCAAGAATCATTTTCTAAGTTAGTGGCATTAAGGCTGAGACTCACAGTAATGCAAAGAGGGTAAGAAGTGGACTATATAGACCGCAGAAATGGTTATTTCCAGAGGCCCTCAAATTGGAAGGAATAAGACGTGCTTATTGAACTGAAAGAAGAGAAGTAGCTAGAGCAAATGGATGGAGTGTGAGTGTTGAGAAATAAGGCCAGAGAAGCAGAGAAGAAACAAAATTTATGAACTGAATAAATATTTAATGACTGTCCATTCTGTATATAGCACTGTTCTAAGTTTTGGGGCTGCAGCATGAACAAACCAGACAAACTTCTGGTTCTAATGGAACTTACACTACTTTGGGAAAGATAAGACAGTAAACAAGGTAAACAGCATATGAACAGTGAACATTGGTATGCTAGATAGTGCTAAGTGCTGTGGAGGAGGGAACAAAGTAAGGATGGGTGTACAGTAGCCAGAGAACGTTATCTGGAAAGGAAAATTTAGATAAGTTCTTAGTAGAGGTTAGCAGTGCAAGTGTTGAAGCATCTTGCCTGGCATGTTTAAGAGCTGCAAAGAGGCTTCTGTGTAGTTGGGATGAAATGAGTAAGAGCGTTAAGTAGTAAGAGATGAGGTCATGAGGGGAACTAGTCCTGTAGGGCCTTTGTCTTTTGGCCTTTTTTTTTTATGAAGGTATTATAGATATACACTCTTATGAAGGTTTCACATGAAAAAACAATGTGGTTACTACATT